ATCGATTTATTAAATTATATAAGACACATAAATGTTTTATTAATTTTATTTTAATATAGATTATATATTATTATAAATAATATTATATTATTATATAAGAATTCAATCAATTAATTTTGATATTATTATACGAATTCAATCAATTAATTTTCATTGATAATTTTTGGCATTATATTAATTAAAGAAAAGTTATATTTAAATTTTAAATGATGCATGACGAACGGTCGTAATGTCTTACGACCATAAATGAGCGTAAAATTACGCTCATGCACCGGCTATAATAATTAGCCGGCAACGAAAAGAATTTCTCTTCTTCATTGCTCTCTGCTAGAGGTCGAAGCTACATCTCTAGTTAGATGTAGCTAGAATGAATATGGCCAGGATCAACGAAAGGTAGGTCCAACTGGCCCAACGGAAGCAACATACGGTGCATTCTATTAGGGCACGCGAGTAAAACGCGCGAGTAGGATACGCTAGTAGGGCACGCGAATAGAACACGCGAGTAGGGCACGCGAGTAGGGCATGCAGTTAGGACAAATTTCTTCCCCAAATTACGATAATCGTGAATTCCCGCTGGCTTAGCCAGCAAAGTAGGGATTAGGACTATTAGGACCAAAATTAAAAATTGAACTGTAGAAAAATTAAAATTAATTACAACAAATTTTAAAAATTTATACACTTGTTACATCTTTTTTTAATAAATCAAAAATTGCATTTATATTTATTATGTAAATAAAACTAACATTTGTTATGTAACAAAATTTAATACATATAAGTTACATTTTATTTTATAGATTAAAAAGCTTGTACATATATTTGTTATATTGATATGTCAATTTATGTAATATTGAATTTTTGGATGTAAATGCTGTCAGAATCAAATTATCTGCATTATTGGATATATCGGATATATCTTTTTGATACTGATAGCATCATTAATTGTAAATATTCTAATTACAATTGTATATTAATTAATTGTAATTATAATTATGTTATAATTTAATTTGTATATAATTATATATTGTAATATATTGTATTATAATTATCATTGTATTAATAATACTATAATTTATATATAAAATTTTCTTTTTTTGTAAATTACACGAAAATTTACCGAAAGAACATGTATAATGGCAATATAATAGAAATTTTAAATTAATATATTCTATTTTTCAAATTGTAATCAGTTTGCCCGTTTCTCTTAATTTTTTCCTCCACAAACATTATGGTTACAAACGAATATATTTTATTAATTAATTTTTAATTAATATATTTTTTGCTCTTTCTTTGAAAAAATATTTCTAGGCATTGAGGATATTAACGTTAGTTTTTGTGGTTTCTTTTAAGAAATCATTTGCAGGTATTGGACATCCCGCCATTCTAGGTGCATATGTTGGATAGTTTTTAGATATACCATTATATATATATAATAAAATACATGCGCAATTTAACATACCATTTCATAAAATTTTTACATTTTTTAAAAATATTGTGTTACAAAATATTATGTATGAATATAATGTAAAATGTGCATATACTTTAAAACTTCGAGACAAATCGAATGGGTACCCCGATATCAGTGAAATATTGGCAAATTAATGTATTTAAATGCTACAAAAAAAAATTAATTATAACTTAGAATTAATTATGCTTCATATTATTTTGATCTATTTTATATGTTGCAAGGTATTCAAATCAAATTTTTTAAATTTTGCTGTTATCGGGTTCGATTCGTCTCGAACAGTTGGTACCCAAGAATTATTTGTATTCGCACATTTAATACAAGCTACGATAAAAGTGCATGTATTTCATTATCCACAAATATAATCGTTTGTAACCACATTTCCATAAAAATTGCTATATCCATTCATGTTTCAATAAAGAGATATATTTTTTAATAATGGAAGAATACATTTTCTCGCGCAATTCTCAATCTCATGAATTAAAGATAATGACAATGGTAACTGTCGTTGATTCGTTACCGAAATCATTGCTATTGGGAGTAGTCCGGAAGATCCGGGTCCCTGATATTCAACGGATTACTTAACTTTTCTTTGCGGATTGATCTTGCGAGATCCGATGTAGAAACAAGAAGTTGATCGTTCTCCACTTTTAGGATTGTTCTTGTCTTTGTCGGATATTAACCGGCGTGTTATCTGGCGGAGGGACCTTGATCTGGTCAAATTGTTGTCCAGTTATCCTCCACTGAACGCGGCGATAACGCGCAGTTTTTTTTTGTAACGGTATTTTAAGACTTATATGGTTTTATCCTGTTTAGTCGATCTTCCGTGAAACGGTACATATATCTTATTCTCAATCGCGAAATTTAATTTAATTTAATAAAATCACGCATTTGTTAATAAATCGGGCATTAGATTTTATATTCACATTGTATACAAATGTTCTATATTACAGACGCGATTATAAAAAGCTCTCCAAATGTCCATTGAAACATTTTCGTTTAAGTATGTAGTAATTATATTGTTTCTCCGATGGCATGTGTATTTTGGAATCGCGAATATTATGACTATCGTCGATTTATTTATTCGTCACGTTTTTTTCGCGGTATATTTTGTGATTTAATCGTTGATTTACATTGAAGCTTCGTCTATCTTTTCTTGGATATTTTCTTTGCAATTCTACACACAAAATACGCCAGTATATTCTAAGTACTTTTTTCTTCTTAATTAAAAAACAATCAATAAGTTTATTAACAACTCTTTTGATTAGACTCGTTTACATTATATAAAACTTAATAAGCTTTATAATTGCATGTTGATCATTAATCATAAATATCATATGAATTGTTCCTTATCAGCTATATCCGATTTAAAAATTTTTACTGGATTTTGGATTATATGAATATTTCGGACATTTTCGTGTAATTCCGTGTAATAAATTATTTTGTATTACATTTTAAATTATATATTTTATATTGAGCTTTGTATTATATTTTGTAATATATATTTGTAATATAATTAATTTTATATTAGATATATAGAATTAATTATAACATATATATTTTGTAATACATTTTATAATATACTTTGTATACAGTT